CAAAAGTTCTTTCATATAGTTGACAGTATCCCAGGGCACATTTCTTCATGTCTTGATCTAATATCAGTCCTACTCCTCTCTCGTTTTTCTCTGTGACTGCACACATGACCCTGTGTTTGTCACTGACGAAATCTCCATTCTTTGTTCACTTCGTTTCGCATCAAATTTTAGCATGTAATCTATTTATATCTTGCTTTATATTTTCTAACTGGTTACAATACTTTCGTGTTCTGATATGTCATATCCCGGGAACTATTTCTTTGCTTGATGTAAACAGTCACTGGTTGACGATCCGGTGACATCTGTGGCTCCCTTTTTCCCGTAACCACTAGGGAATCAATTCCAAGGTGATTGACACCCTTTACGCCGTAGTTTTTGCTAACAGCCGCTGTACGACGGTCATGAACTCGTCCATACTTACTGAGCGAGGAGATTACTCAAATAGACTTGACCATCTTCACGCCGTTACCATTTATGATATTATTGTTGAGAGTTATGATATTTCTAGAGATTGATAGACAGAGGTGTATTTCCCTATTGCCTCCTCCATGGTCATTTTTATTTAGACACAGCCTCTAATTTGCTAGTCTTTAAATCCGCCCTTTTATAGGTTTATTTTACGCCTTTAACTCACATACACACACACACACACACAGGGTTGCTAAAAACTCGCCTCACAAAAAGGAGTTGGATGTTGGTTTAGTTGCTGAACATCCGACAATATATTTAACTCACACACACACACACACACACACATGTGTCTATGTATATATATATGTATGTGTGTGGGTGAGTGGATCGGCAAAATAAGTCTTTTATGTATAAAATTTTCTTTAACAACAATAAAAAAAATAATATTTTAAGGAAATTTATAAGAATTGATGCACCAAAACCACATGATTTGTTACAATTAACACAGTATATAACATCTTCCAAATGCCCGCCCCCTCACGTTCAATACAACCCTATGAGCAACATACAAAGCATTCCTACACTAAGTTCAGAAAATATCCCAGGAATTGCTTGTTTTTATTCCGCAATATTTTTCAGTTTGTGCTTGTAAAGAAGATCTTCAAGTATATCGCCACAAGAAAATGTCTGGTGGCTTTAGATCTGATCATCAAGATGACAACTCAACTGATCCACGTCGTCCTATCCAAATTAGCTCGGAATTAAGATTTAACTTTTCCCGAGTGTTTAAGCCATAGTTAATCTTAAGCCATCTACTATACATGTTCAGTAAAAGATAATAAATAAAAAGAGCCTTACTTTTCCGGAACCCTTTATATAAATATATATATATATGTGTGTGTGTGTGTGTGTTTGTGTGTGTGTGCATGTAGAAAAATAGGAAAAAACACGTTAGGTAAATAATCTGGAGTTCTTTAGTATTTTCGTTTTTATTTTTAAAAAACAGTGCTCCATACAGAAGTAAAGCTTAAATTATAATTATTTTTTTTTAAATGTGATTCCTTCGCTACATATGAGCTCTCAGGTTTCACAAACGAGAGCCAAAAACCTCAATATAATTATTAAAATTAAAGCGAAAATTTACGAATAACAAATCTTGAAATTTGCGCATCTTTATAAGTATGTTCACTTCAAAATTTAATTACTATGGAAACGGCTGAGCCGACCATTTTGATAGGGGGTCTAACAGCTAATTTTTATCTGCATATCAGTCACCTTCTGAAAGAAGTCAAGCCGAGTTAGAGTCGGGATGTCTATTTCAAAGCGAATAATGATATTCATGTACGTCTAGTCAGTCACAGCAAAAGATAGCTTTTGGCACCATAATATATCGTTAAGTGTCTAGAGAATTTTGTTTTATTTTATCTTATATAGTTTTTTTCATTTATTTGTTTATTTTCTGAAGAGCTGTTTCGTATATAATTTTGATAATAACAAAGATTTTTCCAGTCATAAATGCTACTATTTGACCCATAGATGTGTATAATTTCATACATTACATTGGCAGCGGCAGGGTTGGATCAGAAATTTGACTCCATAAATCGATTTAGTAAAAACTTTTCTTGATTTTTTTTTTTTTTTCATCGATTGATTGATTCATTTTTATGGCTAATCAACCCATATGGTTTATATAACCCTAGAACACTAACCATCAATTAAAGTTACACATTTACTAACCATGGGTATATCATACCTGAATTTGAACATATCAAAAAAATATTAAATATAAATCTTTATTTGAAATATTATACATGCAGGCACTTCAAACTTTGTAGTTTGAGTTAACATTAATAGGAACTGAAAAACATATTATTTAGGTAAAAAAATCAGGTACTGAAAATTGTAATTAAAAATAAAAAAATTTGCACTGGGTACTATATACCCATGGTTCTAGGGTTAAATCCGAAACGTATTTTATATTTTCTGCAAGTGAATATTGCACTTATAGATTTTAATTATAACAATATTTTTCAGAGACAAGTCTTAATAGTTAACCTATAGCTAGGTATGGCTTCAAACATTTCTCAAAGGTATTGCACGAATGTGACTATAACGAACCCGACTGGAATTCGAACTCGGCTCACCGATTTTCCATCCAACACATCCTGTAAGATTTATAGACTGCAATAAATTTAAAAAAAAACAAAAAAAAAAACACTGAAGCAACGAATTAAATTGTGTGGGTTAAGTACTGTGTTCTCCAGACTTGAGTGGTAACCAGCCGAGAAGGAAAAGATTCAATTCAGGCCAGTGCTATATGAAGCGCAAGTAATTCATTCCTTGGTCGAAGCCTTCCCTCCAATTGATTTTCCTAAAGATACTCTGGACGCCACATTAGCATTGGACACTATAGAGGAAATATGGAAAGTGGGTCTGGTACTGTGAAAATCTTAATCCAAAACTCCATTCACGCTCACCTTGAGATAGATCGATACATAATCTATATTTCACGATTTGATGCGATCAAAGTCTGCTTTCAATGCATTACAATGATTAGTCTAAATTAAGCCCTTAACGAAATCTTTTTTGTCAAATGAAGCACAAAAGTACATAGCATTAATCTTATCGTTAAATGATGATTCTTGAAAAAGATAACCTTACAAATGACACATATAATGACATTGAGAGGTTTACGTTCGTTCAGTACATTACAGATGTCGCCTGTTTTATTTTAATTTAAAATATAATCGAGAGAATTCCTTCACATATGAAGGAGAACAAATGTCGACAATATCTATGGGAGAAGTAATTGAAATCTGATTTGAAATGTTCATTTTATAATGTACCACCTATGAGATTAATATTTCTGATTGAATTCAATTGTTGACGATATTTATAGTGTATACTAAGATGTACCAAATGTTATATAGGCTGAGACATTAATTGAATTCTGATCTGAAAGTTTCGTTGTATGAGGGGATTAATATTTCCGTTCGAACTAAGTGTGGTGATAAGGAAGGAGATGCTGTTAGCAAATAAATACATACTGTGTAAAATAATTCGGTGTCCCCATTAAGACTTAATGTTGCATCTAAGTCGATATCGCTGATAAATGATTAGTATTAAATATCCGAAATAATATGTAAAACTGAATACTTGAAAACCAATTGAAAATTTCAAATTGTTATTTCCTTGCGGACGCTTCAGTGAGAAAAACTGAAAATGTAATTGAAAATATTTTTACAGTGGCAAACTTACGACTTACATTCAAAAACACTGAACAGTTAATAAAGTCTACAAAATATCTGTGGAGAAATCAGTAACATTTTTGAATGGGAAATGTGTTAAAATAAAACATAAATTTAATCATTTGATGCAGGACTAGAAAATATCTAAATAAAATAAGGTATGGATAAATAAAAAAAAGAAAGAAAATCAATTTATTAACTGTTAGGTTAACTGAAATTAACGATTGCGTTTCAATTGAGGAAAGTTGCTGTTGTAATGTTGTTTCCTTGGTTGGTTGGTTGGTTCGTTGACTCGTTTTTTACGATTTATCAGCCATTTGTTGGTTATTTAAAACAAGAAAATATTTTTATGTTATAAGAATATGGTTTTAGATAATAATCTGTTATGATGTTGACTTGGGATTAGTAGAGACAAAGACCAAATAACACGTAACAATAAAAAGGGTTTTAATAGGTTGGTAAAAAGGTACAGAAATCGCCTGAGTAGTCAATGACTAGCTCAGCTAAGAACTTCTCTGTCTCTCTGTCTTAGTATTTATCAATCCACCCACGAGGATTGAATATGGCACAAGGCCGGTTTAATGTAGGTACCTCTGAGCCCGTAGGCTCGGCCAAAAATATAGCCTTTGAACCCGCCTAGACGGGTTCAGGCCCTGTCTACCTCCCCGGACGAAACCTTGCCCATCGGCAAAGCTTCGTCCTGATTCCTCTCTGCTAACGCAGAGATTTCGACAGACGTCGCTTACAGTCAAAGACTGTATCACGACTCATCTAGACTCGGAGGTCTTACCCTCTCTGTCTATCTGTCTTCTCCCATGTCAACTGACATGCCACTATTTAAAGTCTTTGTTCGCAGACAAGTTCAGTTAATATAAAGAATACAAATGCTTTTGAAACTCGGCTGTGATTTACATTTCCGTGCCATTATCCATTACACCATCCACTGATCCAATCTTACAGAATCTGGTATTCCCAAGCGGTCACCCAACTAAGTATTAACCAGGCTCAACCTTGACTTAACTTCAGTGACTGTGCGAGAACCGTTGTCTCAATATGATGTGACCATAAGCCGAGGTTCCTATGGATTTTATTTTTCATTTGTTTTTATTTTTCATTTGTTTTCGTAATGCTTGGTAGGAGCATAACGTCAATAAAGAAATTACGCCTAAATAGTTCGATTCTCACTGGGTGCCCCATGATTTCGGACTTGTGCCACAACAAGTTCGGATGGATGCGAAACTGTCACTCAAACAAGTACGAATGTAATCTTGATTTCAATTTGGCTGTTATTAACAGTACTGACACTAACTCTCATCATGCTTACTCTCCTTCTCCTCTCAGTCTCTTTCCATTTCTTATTCACGCTTACTCTCCTTCTCCTCTCAGTCTCTTTCCATTTCTTATTCACGCTTACTCTCCTTCTCCTCTCAGTCTCTTTCCATTTCTTATTCACGCTTACTCTCCTTCTCCTCTCAGTCTCTTTCCATTTCTTATTCACGCTTACTCTCCTTCTCCTCTCAGTCTCTTTCCATTTCTTATTCACGCTTACTCTCCTTCTCCTCTCAGTCTCTTTCCATTTCTTATTCACGCTTACTCTCCTTCTCCTCTCCTCTTTTCCATTTCTTATTCACGTCTCTCCTTCTCCTCTCAGTTTTTTCCATTTCTTATTCACGCTTACTCTCCTTCTCCTCTCAGTCTCTTTCCATTTCTTATTCACGCTTACTCTCCTTCTCCTCTCAGTCTCTTTCCATTTCTTATTCACGCTTACTCTCCTTCTCCTCTCAGTCTCTTTCCATTTCTTATTCACGCTTACTCTCCTTCTCCTCTCAGTCTCTTTCCATTTCTTATTCACGCTTACTCTCCTTCTCCTCTCAGTCTCTTTCCATTTCTTATTCACGCTTACCCTCCTTCTCCTCTCAGTCTCTTTCCATTTCTTATTCACGCTTACTCTCCTACATATCACTCCTTCTCTATCCAAGATTTCTGTCTTCCACTCTTTTTCTTTTAAAGACAATTTCCATCCCACAACGCGTTTACTCTCTTCCTTCTCTCTCTCGTTTGAAAATTGGTTTTGAGACGACTGTCATTAATATTACACTTAATACAACAACAACTCTATAGACTCAGCTGTGTTGATTATCACATTCTTTAATGTTAAAACCCTCAATTCTTTCTCTGGATAGTTTACTATATGCATTCATGTGCAACTTATGGCAAGGAAATAATAAATTAAATTTATATTTGACTAAAGGAAAATGATTTTCTTCACATTCATTCATAATACTTCCTATAAAAACGCCTTTTATTCTAAGATTTCAGCCTTATAGAAATTTATATGGAAATTTCACTTGATATTTCAGGGTCCCATTGCAGCATTACCTGTGGGCTATGCCACAACCCCAGAATTCCCAACCTTCCAGAACTTCAAGGACAAAACAACCGGTATGTTGTCTTTACCAGTTATAGGCACACATGTAAAGAAATTCTCCCGTTTTGAAAGATATTAATAATAGCGCCTGTTGACTGAAGAATTGTGAAACTGTCTGGAAGTTTTCGATTGTAATCGTAGGCGCCAGTTCGAGTGTATTGCTCTTGTATAGCCACCGATTACGCCATATTGATCCCGTTTTCCCAGAAATTGTAACAACGTCCCCACACTTGCAGTATAAAAACACAGATAACTTAGCAGATATTAGCTAATGAATGTATCAAATGTATGTAGTCAGAAACGAGAAACCAACGATTGTAAGAGGTGATACATACATATATATATATATATATATATATATATATATATATATATATATATATATGAGAAACAAATGTTCTTAGCGTTATTTCTTTGAATTCCAGTGTTAATATTTAGATAATTCTGCCTAGTTTTATTCAACTACTTAGGTAACATTTTAAAAGATTGACCATTTTAAGGCGTCTTCATGATTCTATCTTCACAGAAATTGGCACCTTTCTGTGTTATGAACTGATTTATGTTGTTTTTTACAGGATTCCATATAACTTAATTTATTTCCATTAAGAAACTTTTGTGTGGAACGAAATAAGTTTTAGTCCGATGTTGAAAGTTCAGCTGAGTATTGTGTGTTTAATGAAACACCCCAGCCAAGCTATATAAATTTTGCTCCAGTATACACAGGAGCTGCAGTTTGGCGTTGTTGCGATGTAATATGACACCCTTTACGATTAGCCAATCCCTGAAGCTTTTCATCGATTGATACATTTAACAGGTCCAACTGAGAACAGTACTGGTTTCAATTAGACATGTGATTTTACGGAGGGTTTTGTAATACACTGATCTTCCAATCTTAAATACACGCTGTCATATTATTCAGATGCAAACAAAACTTTCGTTTTGCCCAGGAACTTTTTTCTCTCTCTACATTTTTGTGAACAATTCATTTTTCATTACTTGCTACCTTCTTTTAAAAGATTGCTTATTTTTTTACATTTGAACAGTTTATCTCAAATGGAAATGTGACCCATTAAATAATGAGGCACATAAACATTGTTGCAATTCACGGGTTTGCGTGTTTTCAAATGCCTTACAACTCTCAAAAGATTATTGTGGACTATCTCTGCGATGTCCCGTGACATGCGACCTATTTAATTTTTTTTTTTTTTGCCAGTGTTTCATTATGTATAGTTACTTTTCTTAGCTACCATTAATCATTCTCAAGAACTGAGTTTAGTAGATTTACAAGTCAAATTGTTGAAAAATATTTATTTCTTGATTTTAACTTTCTGGTGTTTATTGTTGAAGCGTTGTAAATGAAATGCAGTTACCTGTTGTCTTGTTTCTATATTCAAATAGCCTTTTGGAAACCACGCCCCTTTCATATCACATATAGATTCTTTTATTTGTCAAATGAATTACACATGGAATTATTTCTTGTCCCATCTGTGTGGATTCCAGCTTAGATCGATGTTTTATAATAATTTTAATCCATAGATATTCAATCTCTACACCGTACTGGGATTTTTTCTATAGACTGATGCGAATCCACGAATTCTTTCATAGCCAAGTCAACATTATTTCGTGCTGATAAATTCTGTTCTTACTACTTTTTTCTTTGCATGGAATCTCAAGATGTAATATGTTAATAAATACACTTATCTTTAATTTTTCAGTCAATTTAAACATGTACCTGTAAAACCTATTATTTAACTATAGACTCATAGTCAAATAGAGTAGCTTTCCATGTAAATATACTGAGTTTCACATTTGATTATTTTAAATTAACTGCTTAATTTTTCTTTCAGGTAAATACTGTTTTGCTACCGACTTGACTCAATTCCATTGTAGCATGGATGAGATTGAATATTTTGGTCAATCATGTAAGGATATTGGCGTCCAGTATGTCGGTCTCTGTTGTGGGAACAATGCCGAATACTTCCGACATTTGTCGGAAACTCTCGGGAGATCTCCGCCGTCTCTTCGATATAAAGCCGACATGTCGCAACATTTCCTCTTCAGCAATTTGCCTATTAGCAGTTACAACGAGATGTTTAAAAAGGCATATCTCAATCCAGATGTTTAAAAGAAAATGATATAATGATTGTATTTAATGGTTTCGGTACTATTGTAATAATAAAAATTATTGATCTCTAGTGATCTTCTGTTGTAATAAAAATAGAAAAATACAACACAAATCGATTTGGTTATGGCTGATAGCCCCGTTCTTATTCGGTTGGTGAAAAACAGAGGTAGAACAAAGGAAAAAGGTTATTTTTTTTTATATTGTCTGATTTTAAAAGGAGACAATTCTTCATGAACGAAATCATCTGACTACCTCTAGTAACATGTAAAAAAAACAAAACAAGGAATCTTTTACTTTGTAAATTCGTTTTTCGAAGTAAAAATAATTTAATTTTTGTTATGTATCAAGAATTAAAAAATAAAACGATGATTTAAAAGAAAAAGTTATTATTTTTTTGTTTGATTTTCTCTGATTTGAATCGAATTTTATAATTCTGGTAGTGACGGTATCAATTTCATTAAAAATTTAGGCATTAAGCAATACATAAAAACAATTGACAGTATTTTCTTAAGTGATATGAATGGAATGATTTTATTTTTTTTTTAATTCTTATAGTCTAAGTAACGTATAGGAAAGTTCATCAGAGCAATGACCATGAAAGTATTTGTAGAAAAAACAAAGGGAATAGTCCTTATGGCAGTGGAAAAGTGGCTGAAGCCAAGATGCCAGGTCAGGACAAATGGCATTGTAGATTCTTGCATTTATCTAGGATCCCTAAATACAAATTGCAGGAATACTATGGAAGCAATATTCACAGCATGGACGAAGGATAGACTTATAAATAAATACAGTTAAATATTTTAAATTAATAAATCAAATTAATGTCGGAGAGGCATGTCAGGAATTGTGTATAATGCCAAACATAGGTACCCCAAACTCTATCCATGCACAATTGGAAAACATAGATAGATTGATAGATATGGACAATTTGAGATATATACAGTTGCTAATATCTCGTTATTTAGTTTATATTCACACACACACACACACACGCACACACACACACACACATATATATATGTATGTGTGTAGATAGATAGATAGATAGATAGATAGATAGATAGATAGATAATGTATATTTCACGTTTTGACATGATTAAAGTCTGTCTGCAATGCACTACACTGATTAGACTGAATTAAGTGTCGAAAAATCACGTGGTCCAGATAAACACTCAGTTGTGGAGCAAGCTGAGTGAATACTAATTCAACATTGAGAAAGAGAGCTATTTATGGCGCAATGGAGCATCTCATTATGCTAAAGTGGGATAGTCCATTGCTTGGGCTGTGATTGGCTGCTGGTACCTGAGTGGAATTATTTCTATATAAATACTATCATGATTTCTCAGTTAGTTTGCAGGGTTTGTATTAAGTTACAACCTGCTTTATTTTTGTCTGCCAGCTGGACGCTAGCTGGGACTCTTACGCCGGTAAGTGTTGTTTATTGTATTGTTATTCTACATCTCCTCCCCCCATCGCGTGTGGGTAGGGCCTTTGGGGAGGGGATTTGTTCCTTTAAACCTGGCTTGTTGTGTGGAAGTAGTCTGGACAATGCCCGAGGGTTTTTGTCCGTGTTATTGTAGACGGCTGAGCAGTGTTTGATGTTATTCCAGCGTCGAATGTGGCACTGGTGTAGGGGTCTCAGGTAATGCACTAGGTCTTGGAACTGGAATTGTTGGTGTATCCAGTTTCCTGAGAAATCGGCGATTTCGTAAGGTAATTCTACCTGATCCGTCAACTCTGATATGGTATTGGTGGTTGGGGAGGATTTCAATGACCTGACCTGTTGTGTTCCATCGACGGGTTGTTGGTCTTTGTAGTGCCACTATTTGTCTTTTTTGAAGGGGGTTTAAAGTGTATGCTGTTCTGTTGTATCGCTCTATGAGACGAGCGTTCCGCCGGAACAGACTTATCTCACGATTTGGGGCTGCGGTTATCCAATTCGCGTGTGGCTTATAGAGTGTGGGGTGGGATGGTATGTAGTCACGTAGTCGGCGGTGGAGTAGTAGTTGAGCAGGGGATAGTCCAATGTTTTGAATGGGCGTATTCCTGTATTGGAGGATGGCTCTTGCTGCACGGTTATTATCCAACGATCCTTGGGCTCCTGTGTTGCCATTTACGATTCTCTTGGCTGTTTTGACAGCGAGCTCTGCTCGACCATTGGATTGTGGGTATCCAGCAGATGATAACCTTTGTTTAACAGCCCAGTCTTGCAAAAATTGCTTGAATGGAAGAGATGTGAAGGGTGGCCCACCATCACTGCTGTGTTCCTCAGGAACGCCGTAGGTTTGAAATATGTCTCGGCAAATCGAAATAATCCTTGAGGCATTAGCTTCTCCGTGGCTCAAGTGGTATAGATTCAGCCAGCCTGTTAACCTGTCAGCGCATGCTAAGTAACCATGGTTCCCAACATGGAAGATGTCCATGACGATTTGCTGAAATGGCCAATCAGGAGATGGTGTCAAATTGATTGGCTCTTTTGGTTGACTCGGGGCAATTTTTGAGCAGAACGTACAACCTGCTCTAATGTTATGAATTGAAGCATTCATCCCGGGCCAATAAACAGATTCA